CATCTAGTTAATTGTTAATGACAGACAAGATAAATCTAGATTTAGTTTGACCTTGTCACTGTAATCTTCTATTAAGTACATTTGACTTATTCCTTGTGAGTGTCACTGAGCTCAGCTCAGCACCACTGAACTACAACACACAATAAAAAATTAACAGGAAAGTTTAATTTCATTCGAACTGAACTACATTTCTTTTCAGGATGTGTTAAATATTGAAAAACAAGCCGTGCAGGTCGTCCAGGGTGAAACAAAACAAAACCATTAGCAAACGCAGACGTGTTGCTCCTCCGAGGCCGTTTCACACTTCAGTAGAACTTCAGTTACGTCCCCTCTGGGAGTCGAGATTGATCGGGACAATTAACTTGATATGTCTTACAACCAGAAACATTCACAAGCTCTCTTCAAGCAGCACCGTTCATCTGAGCTGCAAACTAATTAGAAGTTTGGAGCTAAAGACAACGAAAGACCGGGAGTTTTCAACGTGTTTGCAGGTTCATCCATCACGATGCCAAAGATCCAACTCCTGTAAAAGCTTTTCACTACAGACTGATGGTACCAGAGTTACACACACACACACACACACACACACAGGGCAGACATTCAGTCAGTGCACAATTTGTACAAGATTCCTGATAATTATTAAATAGATTATGAGTATTTACAATATACACCAGGCTAACATTAAACAAAGAATCAATTGTACTCACTTATTCTATATCTGAACTCATTGAATTTGAGGATATTTACAAGAAGAAAGATGACAGAGAGTCTAGAAAATCCCAATCAACACCGTCGATTGGCTTCTACTGTATCTGCTGAATGGCTCGCCAAGGTTAATTCTTTAGCCTTATTCCCACTAAAGGCACATACGAAGCTAAGCAGGGCTCAGCCGTTAGCCTGATACACACCAAAGGGCCGGTAAGTAAAAGGTTGGCGAAGGCGAACAGATTCGTGTAACGCTGTTTCTTCCAGGTGATGTTCATTGTGCTTTTGATTTAGTTTTAAATAGTACTTTGGATCTTATTGCCTGCTTCAGGTTATAAAATGTTGAATTTGCTCTTTTGTCACTGAGTGGTCACTGAGTGGTCCCTGCTATGACAACACCTGCGGGGCTCTTTCTTTCCTTTTACTTTCATCAACCATTATCTCTGTTTTCCACAGTTTGAGTTTTCTCTGTCTGTCCTTGTCCTCTCCTCTCGTCCTCTTAGGTCCCTGTGCACCACTCGTCGTCTCCCTGCAGCCACAACAAGCTGAAGATTTACTTGCAGTTCATTTACACTGACCCGTCTCCTGTCTGAAACCCACTCAAGACCTTGGATAAAACTTGACCAGAAACAGTCTCACAAAAGGTTGTAGAATATATTTTTACTTTTTCTGCGGTGAGAGCTGCTCCTTCCACTATTTTCGCAAATGCAAACCTCCTGTTTCCTGCAGCCTTTGTTTCTAAAGGCAGATTTTCAAAATAAGAGTAATTATAGCTTCATGTGGTTGAGCATTAGGTCAAGTGTCTGATCCGTGAATCAAATGAACTACAACGAGCTCTTGAGGCCATTTGGGCAGATCCCTTCACTAAGTATTACCACCTGCACCCGTTCTGTCCCTCCTCTTACCCCCCCGCTCATCACGTGTCCCTTAACTGTAGCCGAGGTTCTCCATCTCGTGGCGGTATCTTAGCTCCGACACTTTAGCCTTGTGCTGCTTGCTCTCCAGATGCTGCCTGAAGTCCGTCTCCTGCTCGGCACCACAGTTGCACATGGAGCAGTAGAACTGTCCGCTGGGAGTCACACACATGGCCAAGTCCCTGGGGATGCGCTGCCTCGGCCTCGGGTTGTAGTACGGCCCTGCAGGGAGAAAGAGAGGAGAGGTTGGCCAAAGCTCCAGAGGCTGAATTCTCTTTCCAGACAGCTGGAAGGATACTTGAATGTAGGTAAAGAGTAAATGGGGTGAAGGGCTCGGATAGATTCTTGTTTTGTCTGGCCTGTGGCGCCAAACCAGAAGAATGAAGGTAAAGTATCCTGGATACATTATCACGCACATCTGGAGCCAGAGTCTGCACAGTAGCAGGTTTTTATATCCTCAATTAACTCATTAAAACCAAACTTATCAGACACACGAACACAGTGTGATGCAAACTCAATAAAATGACTTGACATGTACTTTTTAGTTTGGTCCCAGCCACTAACATGGAGGAGGCTGTGTTTTCCTAAACTGCTACCAGCCACCAGGGGGAGATCAAGATGATTTGACTGCACTTTCATGCGACCTATCATGTCGTCCAACTTTATATCGGCGACTCGTGGAAATCGCCGTGAAATCTGTAAGTGACACGTCGTCCATGTTTTCCTCAGAGTGAAAGTAAATCTACTCACGTGATGTTTTATCTACTGCCACCATCAGGCCCGAGACTGGAAACGTCAAACGATGAGTATTATAAAAATGATACGTCACTCCCATGATCGGAAATTTATTTTGACATCAGCATGAAGACCGGGGACAAACACAAAGCTACAATTCACGTCTGATGTTGAAAATAGATGAGTATCACACACTCAACACAAACCTGAGCACACAATCCTCTGGGATGTGTGTGTGTGTGTGAGAGAGAGAAAGAGAGTGAATGAGAGAGAGGGAGTGAGAGAGGATTTATGCTGTTTCATACTGAGCTGGTGTGTCTGTGTCTCTGCCTGAAGAAAGATACGAGAGAGAGGAGGTTGTTTGACGTCAGCGCAGAGTCTGACGTTACCTCGTGTGTATCTGTTTACACACACACACACACACACACAGCTTCCAGATATTTCAATAATATGTTATTATTAGTAGTAGTAGTATTTATCATCATCACTATTGTTATATAGTTACTAATATTATAGTAGTATTGTTACCTCCACCAAGGCAGTTCTGTTTTCAGTCCCTTCGCTGGTTGGTTGGTTTGATGATAACCATGAGGCAGGATGTGTTTTTCACTTTCTCTAATGTCGCGAGATGTTTTTTTAATATATTCACTTATTTTCCAGGGAATCATTTATGGATCTTGATGAAAACACCGGGCACGTTGAGGGGAGTGATTACTGTGAGTGTGTGAACATTGGTGCAGCTTGATCGAACACCCTGGGGGGACTGTTGGGACTTGGTGGAACCATTTCACTTATTACTATTGTGCAATTACTGGGAGGGAGCGCTGAAGCCAGCCACTTAAATGATGCTGACTTCTTCATGATGCCCCTAAATATGTTTATTTTCAGCGCAGTCGTTCCTCGGGTTATCGTCTTCTCCCAAGAATAACACAAATTATTTCTGTGTCCGTCACACTAAGCTGCAGCAGCTTATTTGACTGATGTCTCCCGACATCCGTATGTGGGAGAAGAACTGCTTCTGATATTTTTTTCCTCCCTCTCTGCCCCAGGGGTGTTCATTACAGCTCGGCTACCGGGGTCGAGAATGAGACCGTGGATGGGCCAGAATATATAAAGTGTATATGTGCAGAGTATTTTATGGATTACATCACATCCAATGCTGGGGGAAAATCCAGTGTGAACTGCTAGAGGTCAAACGGTTGTGCAGTTGCTCAGCATGCTGCACAGTGTTAGTGCGGACTGGTGGATTCTGCAGAAGCCAGTGAGGGGTGATGGAAATCCTGCAGACATGCTGCATATACACCGATCAGGCAATACTCACGTTCTATGTTGTATAATAATTGTATGATGTCATCTTCTGACTTCACGGTGATGCCGTGATGATGTTGTTTCCACCATATGATCATTTTTTTGCTCCATATAATATGAATTACCTCGATGGCTTTTCATTGTCTTGATACTTTACCTGGCATGGCGACCGGTAGCTGTGGGCTGCGGCGGTTTTTCACCAGTTTGTATTCGCTGCCATCTTTCCTGTTTCTTCTGGCGGCTGCCTCACTGCTGCCTTCACTGTAACAGAGTCAAGATCACTTCAGCTCGTTCTTATCCACCATCACAAGTCGTTACTTAAACATTTAGCTGTTTCTTCTCAAACTGACTTTGACCTGATTAAGTTGATCAGGTTTCCTGAGTAACGTATCTCTGCACTAAGTAGAATGAGGAGGTGTATCTTTGCCCAAACCTACATGTTATTGGAATTCTGCTGGGCCTCTGCGAGCCGTAGTTTCTTGGCGTGGTTCTTGCCCTGGTAGTGAGCCTGTGCAACGGCCGGTGAACTGAAGGAGGCATCGCACAGCTTACAGTAGTCGTTCTCTGTGGCCAGGATGACCCGAGTCGCCCCCTTGTACAGCGCCTGAGGACACGGGACAAAGCAGCGCATACTGTGAGAAAAGAGAGGCGGTGGGAGGAAGAAGAAAAAACTGCAAGGAATTCCTTAGATTTTCAATCTAGTACAAACACAAGTACAGTAGTCGTACTTCAACAACATGATAAAAGTGTTTACAATCATTTCTACCATTAAAATAAAATGCATAATATACAATAGTTTCATTTAATTATATCCCCGAATGCTAATCAGACGTCTAGCCTTTGATTATTTCATTTCGTTTTTCTCATTGTGCTTCTGATATTTCATAATCCGTGTTAAATTCTTGTGACTTTAGATTAAACTTCTGTTGGCACCAACCAGACGAAACGAGTCAGAGGAAGTCTGGATCTTCTTGTCAAAGTGCAGTTTGACTGAGATCAGACAGTGAATTCTTCAGTGGCAAGAAGATATTTTGAGTTTCGGTTGTTAAAATGGAGCAGAGTGACTCAGCACTTCCTGGCCACCTCCTCAGAGGGAGACGACCTCCATCAGTCACTTCGGCAGCAGCTCGCCCACCTCCTCGACTAAAACTGTAACGTGTGTGTTGGATGGTGCTGAGTTGCTGAGTCTGACCTGTCTGCCTGTGTCACTGTCTGTGGATCCTGAGTTGAGGGCCGTCTGCCCCGCCGCATCAAGGACTTCTGGGATCCTAATGGCTGGTGGCTGTTGACTCCCAGCGTAGAAATTCCTCAACTTTTTACTGTGGTTCTTCCCCTGGACAGACAGATAGAGAGATACATTCTGTGTATGAATGTTCTACATCTGCTGCATGTGCAAATGTGAAACTGACCTGGTAGTGAGCCTGCGCCTGCTGAGCGGAGTTGAGTGTAACATTGCAGAGTTTACAGTACAGCGGTTTGCACAGTTCCTCCAGCCCCAGAGAGTCCTCCTGCTCCTCCATCCCCAGCGGAGAGCCCTCATCCTGGGGCTGCTCACTGGCTGGGGCTGCCTGACCAGGGAGATGACCGGGGATGAGGCCAGACACCGGGGATGGGATGAGGACTGGACCTGGGGGCCGTGGGGGCAGCTGTGAGGGATCTGGGCCAGGAGCAGGAGGGGACGACAGAGGGCCGGGAGCGAGGGGGAATCTGCCAGCTCCGGGCGCCACTATAGGCGGTGGCACCAGTGCTTGTGCATGGTTCAAAGGTGGAGGCCCTAATGGCTGTGTGAGGTCCATAGTTGGAGGCACTATCGCTTGTGGGGGCCCCAAGGTGTGTGGCAAGGGTGGAGGCCCCAAAGGCTGAGCTGGCACCATTGGAGGAGGGCCTAAGCTGTGTGGTGGGGTAATGTGGGGAGGCCTTAATGTGTGAGTAGCACTTATGGGAGGGGGCCCTAGAGGCTGGGAGGGAACCATAGTTGGGGGTCCTATTGCCTGAGCCGGGGAGATGGGTGGTGGGCCGAGCGGCTGCGTAGGTGCCATAGGTGGAGGCCCCAGCTGGTGCAGAGAGTCCATGTGGTGGAATGGCTGCTGAGGGTGACTGAAGAGACTCAGAGGAGGCTTCAACATGTTCTCATGGCCTGTGGACGAAGGGAAAAAAACACAAGTTCAGTGATGAAACAAGAAAACTAAATTATTTTAAATCTGTAAATATGTTTTCAACTAATCAGAAGTAGGACACTAGATAACCTCCTGACTATCCAGCTCTTCGTGTTGCAACATTACGTGTGCATTGCATTGATTTAGACTGTTGTTGCTTCAGATCCTGCAGGTTGACGTGAGCACTGCGATTATTGAACAAACGTACAGTGACACTAAGAGACACTTGGAGCCCTCAGGCCGGACAAGTATAAAGAGATGGGCGAATGGAAACACATTCTCGGCCAGAGGAGCTTCAGTGGGCATCAGAAAGATTAGACTGATCCTGCAGCGCCAGCAGGCAAGAACGAAGCGTCCACATGCATGTGCACACACACACACACACAGAGTTAGAATAAAATCCTCGAGCCTCTCTCATCATAAGAGATCAGATGGAGATGAAGAGATGAAGTGTGACGCTCCAATAGGTTTATACAGTGTGTGTTTCTGTTTGTGCATGCATATACACAAATGGCTGATTTGTCTTTGTTCATTTGTGCCACTCTGATGCTCCTCTTTATGTTAGTGTGCGTGTACGTGCTCCAGTAATAAGGCCAACAGCTGTGTCAAACCTCACTGTGCTGGAAGCTTTCATCTGGAATCCAGTCGGACGCCCAATGGCAGTGATTCATGGACCCAAAATAACACCCGGGGTGTTTGTGTTTCCGACTGCTGCTTGTTGTCCGTGTGTCTGTCGAGCGGCTGCCTGTCACCTGGCCTCACTGACCTCAGTGTAAAGGTATGCTGAGCAAGGCTCTGACCTTACAGTAATGTCAACAGCAAAATGCAGCAGCATGTTGTTTCCATCGTAGTTAAGGAATAAATTCACTGTTTTCATCAAGATTCACTGCTTAAGGACATCGTGTGCTGTTTAACATAATGAAAGCTTTTATATTTGCTATTCTTAGGAGCTGCTTTTAAGGAAATCTTCTCTGGCATCCTTTGAGCGGAGCGACGGTTATTTATCTGTAATAAACAGAGGGGCTGAGTGAGCACTAAGTGGACAAAGAGAAGCAGCTCTGACAGATACTCAAGCTTCATCAAAAAGAAAATCCACAAAAAGGACAGTTCACTTCTCAAGTGGCAGGTGAGCTGTGCAGAAAAACCACAAAAACAGCTTTAGCACCGAAGTAAGGAATAGATTTGTGTAATGTTATAATAATCATGCATAATTAAAATAAAGGGGTCAAAAGGTTCTAACAAAAATATATTTTGAGCACATCTCTGCTTCGCCTGCTCGTCTTTTGCTGTCGGTGTCGAATGAGACCAATAAAAAAAAAGCCTACTTGCTCAACAGCCACTATAACTGCATAACGAACCAGATCCACCAATCAAGCTCCACCCACTGCACATCGGTGACAGCAGCCTCATGAGAAACCTTTGACCTCAATAGAAACGGCCTGCGCAGCGTTTCACTGCAGCAGAGCTGAGCCTGTTTGATTGATATGATTCATTAAGTCGTTCAGGGAACACGCTGTGGTGACTGCAGAAAAAGATGGACGATATGTGTCCACTTCCTCCCACTAACCAGAAAACAAGCCAAAGTACTCTGGCCCATGTGCCCTATGCTAACATGGAGGAGGCTGGTTTAGGACCTATGCAGCAGCCAGCCATCAGGGGGCGATTGAGTCGCTTTGGCTTTAGCTGTCGTGTCGTCCATCTAGTGCCTTTGTATCCTTATATACACAACTGTTTTACATACTGCAGTGTACATCTGTTCAAATGAGATGTTCTCCCATAACTCTCTCCCCGCTCCCTCTTCTTTTCCATAGCTTCAATGTGAACTTGAACTGGAAGTACAGAACATCCTCTGATCCAAAGGGACCAGTGGACAGAGAAGCAGCAGCGGACTTTGCTGCAAAGTCAACAAAGTAAACGACGTTGCTGTTCTGCACTTGATGTTTTGGAGCTGACACAGTCAAATTTGCAAGTCAAAACCAGGCTTATGTCATACTGCCCTGAGGTACGAGGCTGAGAGTTATCCCTGCAGTAGTGTTGTCAAGAGATAGTGTTCTCAAAGTCTTACATGAAGCCGCCAGAGTTGGGAAAAAAACTTGAAAGTAGGAGCTATTCATAAGGTCATCAGATTTTATTTGTCCTTTTTCTGCTTGGCTCAAACGTTCTTGGTTTACAGTAATAAGGCTGAGCCACAAAACGACTTCTGTCCTGGGGCCTGATAATCTCAAGGCCTCCATCAAGAATCTTTAAATAGGCCAAGTGTTCATTTTCTCTAGAGTTCCTCTCGCAGTACTCTGTTGTATCACATCAATTATAGAGCAATGAGAAGCACATGCCTCCTATTCCATCTGCTTCACTGGACAGTGGACGAGCACAGGAAGAAGCAGGAGAACAAATATATCTGTCCTGTACTTTGACGTATCTGGACCATTACAGTCGAGCCTATAGCTTCTACTTTTATATCTCAGCAGCTCAAATCTCTCCTCGTGTGGATCAACTTTAATAATTAACATAAAGTGAGTGGTGTTTTCCTTCGAACACTCGTGGGCTCTGCATTAGGCTGCTCTTACTGTTATTGATCAGTAAACAACTCACCAGACGTCTAACTTCTGAAAAGCTACCAAGTCCCGCTGGGAAATAGACAAGAGTATATTTAGAGCTGCAGTTGTTACGATTATTTCCTTCAATAACTGATTCCATTTTCAAAAACAAAAGCCAATCGTAACTTCAAAAGAGTCAAACATATTGTCTTGAGATTATTTATGTTTATTGAATCTCATTAGAGAAGTTTAATACAACAAGATGAATGATTTATGAATAATAAATGTAGTTAAAGACATTTTCTGTATATTTTCAGCATCATATTCCAAGTTTTTACTATTACTTCACAATGTCACGATGGTAGAGGATGAAATATTAATAGGACTGATAGAAACATCAAGACCTAAAATGTCTGAAAACCACTTTAATACTATGTATTTGTATTCAGAGTATGCACTTGGTTTTTATTTTTCTGATACTGGAATAACTGTTTCTCGAAGATTAGAATGATGGGGTTTGGTGTCATGTGTTTAATGTTTTCTTTTTGTAGGAGGGGGTTCTTTAATATGCTCCATGTTAATATTAATTTTGTCCAGGATGTACCCACCTCTGTCAACCTTATAGAAATGACAGCATACATCAAACACTGATATGTGCAAGTGAGAATGAAGAAATAAAACATATGCATTTCATTTCCTAGGTACTTCACAATGGTAGAAGCTGAGACATGAGTAAAGATGAAGAAGATTTACCAACAGGATTATTACCAGGTGCACTGATCAACCTCAGAACATTCATCTGAACGATCTGTGGCACGTATAGACCTCAGATCTCTAATCGACCGCCAGGAAATCCAGTTTTATCATCTGTGCACTTTGGAAAACGCTCCTTGTGCAATTCCCACATGTCACCATCAGCTGTGCGGTGCACGGGGTGGATGGAGGGAGCAGCAATGACTCAGTTTCTATTTCTTCACCTGTTTTGACCGGAGGGACGCAGCTTGACCGATGAGAGTGTGAACACTGAGGCTGCCTCATGTTACAAGACTTCAGCTCAGACCTCAGACGCAGAGCTGCTTTTTCCTGCACAGTGCATGAGAGTATCTCGACCCCCTGATTTTTCCTTTTTTTTTTTTTGCACGGCAGCATCCATGCACCATAAAGCTGCGCAGGATGGAGGCTGGTGCACCCCCCTCACACACACACACACACACACACACACACACACACATGCACATGCACACACACACAGCTTCCACATCCACGTTCATCCTTGATTTCTGGGGGGTTTCTGCATCCCTGCACCCTGGAAGGAAAAACCCCGCTGGTGGTGGAGATCACTTGAGTCTCCTCTTCTTACCTGGCAGCCGGGGCAGATAATGGCTGCAGTGGCCGTAGCTGACGGTGGGCGGTGAGGTGTAGTTCCTGCAGTATTCTGCGCTGTGGTAGTACGCTGCATCCCCGCTCTTCAGCTGCATCATCGCACTTACATCCCTCCGACAACTTCTGCTCCTCCAGAACAGAAGGATGACAGCGGCTCGGGCACTGCGCCTCCCACCGGAGGGGTGTTCCCCACAGGCAGGAGGAGCACGGACACATCATCGCACGAAGAAACCGATTGAAGGAGAAGATGCATTTAAAGTTTTCAATTTAAAACATTTATACTTGGAAACTTTTCCTCTTTGAGGACACCCCTCCTCCCCCTGCAGAGGCTCCCTGCTCCAGTGCCTCCCCCCCTCCCCCCTTCTTGGTACAGTCCACTTCCGATGCCACCGCTGCTGATTTGCACGGGTGGTAAATCATGACACGTTGAATAAATATGTTGCACCTCAGTGTTGCTCTCCCTTTATTACTGCTGACTGTTTGTGAGCCTCAGAGCTGCAGGGAGGACCAGGCTATGTGCTGGAAGAGTTACTGAGCCAGTAGCACCAGCCTGCTGCAGGACAGCAATAAAGACAGGGCACTTAAATAACCTGTGATATAATGAGACATAAAGTTTGAAAGTGGAGAAAGGTTGTGTTAAGGTCTTAGGGTTATAGGATACTACAGGGGCGTTACCACAGGGTGAGCGAAGGATGGAATGGCCCCAAGGTGAGGGGGCCCCCAGAGAATGACCACTGGCGTTATTAAGCCCAATTCATGCTTCTGGGTCAAAGCTACGCCGTAGTTGTGCGTCGTTGTGTGTTAGTTAGTACATCATCTAAACACTAGGAGCTTCTATGCTGGTGTCTTCTCTGTTTACTTCACAACAATGTTGAGTGTTACGAAGCAGTTGGAGCTGATTACAGTTGAAGAGCAATTACTTTTGCAACTGCAACGAAGAAAAGGAAGGCGTCGTCCGTGTTCGTTCATTCAACTCAATGCAAAAATGGCGGCGGGTCTGCCAGAAATGCGATCCCACCAGGTGGACCAATCGCAGCTCTTTCCGTCTGCGCCGCCTTGATGCGTAGTTACATTTTGGGGGAGTTGCACGTCGGGGAACAGTGTAGGGCACACGTCTATGCGTAGGTAATGGCATATACAATTAACAATACCTGACCCAAGCAGACCAGTGGGTCGGACCAGGTTCGGACAAACATTTTGAAATGATATTTGGCTCATGGCAGCTGGTCTTTCTACTTCTACCAAGAAACACCATTGCACATTACAATGAAGTTGGACAAATTTCACAATTATACAACCTTTTTATTGCACATTTAGAAAAATAAACAATCTTGTATACAATATTTTATTCTCCTATCATATATAGTATTTCTACTTTTAATAAATCTTTCCTTTTGTGCTGCTGTGTCATTCATACATCTCCTCTATGGAGGATCTCAAAGGTTCTTCTTGTCTTCTCTTACTTGATTTTTTGCCCTTCATGTGTCTGTTATCAGAGATTCAGACGATGCAGATTATTTAATACTCTTTGTTCCATTTTAAGCATTTTATTTAGCCTCTCCTTGGGGGTGAATCTCTTTTCTTTGTATATCTGGTCAGATGTTGGGCCACTTTGTGAAACACAAGTCACCCATGAACACTGAAACATTTCTATATCTATTATTTATGCAGTGTAATATGATGTTGTACTGATAAGTGTTTGGTTTGGTGGTTTGGGCATCACAGCACTTTGTGTCAGACCAATAAATCACACACAGTTTCAGTCACTGCACAGTTTGTGTGTGTGTGTGTGTGTGTGTGTGTGTCAATACCATCATTGTGAGGACATTTTGACATTCAAATGTCCTTTTGAGGGTTAAGACTTGGTTTTAGAATTGGAATTGTGTTTAGATTAGGTTTAAGCATTCAGGTTAAATGGTTAGGGTAAGGGTCTAGAATATGCCTAATGTCAATGAGTGTCCTCACAACTATATAGAGATGTACTCATTTTTGTCACCTGTGGGCCTCTATAAACACTGACATGGTCAGGACCAGTAATCCTACTGAAGACCATGAGGTCCTGGTAAAGGCCAGTGAGATGTAAATGGTGGTTAAGTTTAAGTTAAGTTAGGGTTATACATGAATAGGTGACGGTGTTATGTTTTGGATAAGCTGTTCATTAAGCGTCATTGTGAGGACATCTTGACTTTGTGAGGACATCTTGACTTTGTGAGGACATCTTGACTTTGTGAGGACATCTTGGCTCGTCCTCACCTCCTCAAAGAGCTTGTTTTTGGGTTCAGACTTGGTTTTAGGGTTAAGTTAGGTTTAGTTGTGATGGTCAGGGTTAGGGCTCCGATATGAACTGTGGTCAGGTTAGGGTTAATTATTAATTGGTTAGGGTTAAAGTTTTGGTTGCTGGTCACAATGAATGGAAGTCAATGCAAAGTCCTTGGGTCAGTGTGTGTGTGTGTGTGTGTGTGTGTGTGTGTGTGTGTGTGTGTGTGTGTGTGTGTGTGTGCTCATGACTGTGTAGGACATCTTGCTGGTCCAGGGTTAAGACTTGGTTTAAAGGTTAGGATTATGTTTAGGTTAGAGTTAGACATGAAGGTTCCGGGTTGCTCTCCACAATGAGCGTGATGCACGTGCGTGTGCGTGCGTGTGTGTCACAGGAAGAGAGGGGGGGGCTCAGACAGCAGCAGCGTGGCTGCTTTGTCGCAGCAACTTGTCGACTCTCCACCGGCTCCTCACCGGCTCCCCACCGGCTCCTCACCGGCTCCACACCGACTCCACACCGACTCCTCACCGGCTCCACGGCGGCTCCACACCGGCTCCACACCGGCTCCACAGCGGCTCCTCAGCGGCTCCACACCGGATCCCTCAGCCCTCAGCAGCCGCCCACAACACCCTGGACCGCGCCTTCGTTTCTCTCCCTGTCCACAGGAGCGGCTCTTCGTCAGCGGCTGCTCTCACGGACACCACGGCGGCACCGAGGCTGACAGACGGCGGATAACGAGCCTGCTCCGCCCGGCGCACCGGGAGCCACCGACCCCCCCCTCCCCGGCCGCTGGGAGCCCGGACACCGGAGGGGCTGCACGGCTACAGCTAACTGGGAAAACCCGGGGAGCGCATCCTCCAGACCCTTCGCCGCTCTGAAGGGTAGGTCAGCGGGATGGAGGAGCAGTATTCCCCGCAGACTTCCAGCGGACACTGGGCTCTTTATTTTATAAGAAGCGGATGACAGGCTCAGCGTTAGCCGCTAGCTAGTGAACGAGGCAGCTAGTTGGCATTAACCATCCCCGCAGCGGCGGACGTGTGTGGAAATAGGTGTTTGTGGTAAAAATACGGTTTGACTGTTCATGTTTAATCCGGTTTATTTCATTATTACGTGTTTTTGTGTGTTTTTGATGACACGGGGGGGGGGGCTCACAGCGATGTGTAGCTGTCATCCCCCAAAACACCCAATGTTAGCTAACCCGCTGCTAGCCAACCTGAATCAATGTGTGTGTGTGTTGTTGTTGTTTGTGTTTTAAGTCCCTCTCCTCTTCATATTTCAGTGACAGTGTGAAGATGGATTAAAAAGATGAAATGTCCCATCATCCCAATAAGAGGACTTCTCTGTGAGGTATGTTTCAGTAACCCTCCTCCTCCTCTCAGTCTCAGTCCTGCAGAGACATTTCACTTCACATGTTCACTAGTTCTTTTTGTACCTGACATCTAATCTGCTCTCACACACACACTCGGTGCTGATAGTGGAGACCGAGTATTTCTTTCGAGCTTGCAAACCTGCAGCACAACCCACACAACTACCAGAGCAGTTGAGTTTCAGTATTCAAAGCAAGCTTGTATCCAGGCCAGTGTTTTCCCACTCCCCACATCCTGTGTTGTGAGGAAGCTTCCTCTTTTGTCCTAAAGTGCTTAGCTGCATCCTGATCAGGGTCACAGATCACGGAGCAGCTCAATGGGAGGTTTGTTCTAACTGTTTCTTTGCTTGTTTTTCTACATAATATTCAATATGTCTCTTCCTCTGTGAAGTAAGTTTGCTGTTTTACTTTGGATTTTTGGTTCTCATTTGGTTGTTAATCGTGTTCACAATCTTCCTCAAGCTGGAGGATCGGTGTGAGAACTTCGGTGGGTTCTTCTAAACTTACTGGCACTGCATGGACTCGTCCTCAGTCCAATCAGCAACAGGATGCTGAAACTGTTTGGGATTGTTTTGGCAGCAGGGGAAGCAGAGCTCTCTGGCCAGGCATTGTCCGTTTCCTCTGCAGCTTCCTGCAGCTCATGAGGGCTCCCTCTGGGGGATACCCCACGACTCCTAGCCCGATAGCTAGCCCAACTGCCCATTGTTTGTTTCCCCTGTTAACCGCAGACATATGTATGGAGATTTAAGAGCTTTCATATCTCCAAGTAGAATTCAAACAACCTGTACAGAGTAATGTTGGTTTGGTTGAAAGAGGTGAAATGTTATGTGGGAGTTTGATCAATGAATTGACAGATCTTAGGCAAAGATTTGTTCTAGTCTGAAAGCTGCTTGATAGTTAAGTGATACAATGACCTCAACATATATGAGTGGTTATAACTGATACGAGCAGAAGAGGTTTGCCTGCTTTGCCACTTTATCCCCGATGTGCTAATGTTTTAGCACAGCTGTGGCCAGAAGCGTGAAGCCTGTCTGTCCAGCCCACTCTTGTGAACACTATATCTCAGGAACACCTTGGCAGTACTTCATGAAATTTGGCACAAACGTTCACTTATGTTCAAGGATGAACTGATTAGATCTTAGTAGTCAAGGGCCACCTTGAAACTGTCCTAACAGTATAGATATTCTATTCCTGCAAGGTTGAAGACGTGTCTGCGAACTGAAGCATCTTCTTCTATAGAGTCATAGCTTCTTGGGGGCAACATCCTTATTTAAAGCATTGTCATGCCATCATGACTGCATCGTTGTTTTCTATCAGCATGCAAATACGTCTAAAATAATAATTTTGACTCTAACAAACTCTCTCAGTAATCTTGACGACATACAGCTGAACAAACATGAGAGAAGCTCAACAAAGTCCGGTCAGATCAATTCTATTTTTATATCATTATCTCTGGAATCAAAAATTTGCCTCAAGGCGCGTCACAATGTGAACAAATTCTCAGGCTTTAAGCTCTGATGACGATCAACTCCTATTAATGGTCAGAATAAAACTGGTACATATCTTACCTGATGATTGTATTGTCTTTATTAAGTATTATTTATAGATTTTACAGTTACTGTGCAACAAGCTGCACAAAACTGCTTGCCCCTAGTGGGATTAACAAAGTTGTCTACACACTGTTTAATGTTGTATGAGCCTGGCAGATGTAGATGTAAACTTCCCTGGTCAATAGGGACATACTAACTGTGAGGCAGTTAATCTAGTTAAAGCTGAATTATCGTCAGTATAGTGTGGAGTTTATATCGTCAGACAAGCACTAAATGAAACATGAATGTGAACAAGCAGTACTCCCTTTTCTTCTCTTCTCATTTTGACAGTTTTTCTGCAGAATTGTGTGCAGCGGTAAGCTTTCTAAAGCTTAAGTCTAGGCATAATGTTGTAACTTCCTGAAAGCCCACACAGACGCATATTTTCCCATCATTATGTTACAATCTGCAGTTGCCTCACTGTGGTGTTTGGGTGTTTGTGAGTCAGTGTTGAACCTGTGCGGTCGGGCCAAAATAACTCTGTCATGGAGGTCCCCAAAGTCCTTTACTTTGCCAGTTCTTCAAGACAGAAAGTTGAACGAGCCACTGCACCTTGGTTTGAGTTAACTTGAGAAAGTACAGACACAGTAGAGATGTTCCGATAGTATTTTCTCCTTCCTGACACCAACACCTGCGACAAGACTCTTTGCGTCCACTGTTATTTCAGAAAATGTCATAAGGTCGGCATCGCAATCGACCTGTTTTGTTTTTGTGTCACAAAATAAAACATTCTGTTGCTAAGAATGTGAAAATACATTGATGGTATCATCGTCTTCCAAAACCCATCGTAGGCTGATAAGAAGCAAATCTTTAACGTAACTTTTATTCATCTCCACAACAACGTTTGTCCGACATTGATAAAAGTTTGTTACAAGTTCCTTTAATACCTAAAAATCGATGGCTCCTCAAGTTTAGCGCTGTTGTTTTAGGCATGTGTTACACAGAATACTGATGAGAGCATTCCCGCACTGTGCCAATACAAATCATATTACTCTTTACGTGCTTAACAGCTGCACCGATACAATATCAGTTTGCAAAGTGACATCCAGCTTCTCCACAAAGGTCAGGGGGAACCTTTCATACAAAGCCGTGTCAGATACATTTCCTATTTCCATTCATGTTTTAATCTGAATGGGCTGTTGTGTGATATCTAACCTTCCTTTACTTTGCCAGAAACTGCACTGAGTTCACATTTTATTACTCTTTTATTCATTTTGCAGAGAAGTGGAAAATCTCACCTCATCAGGGCAGAACTCAGGTCTGACTGGCTCTGGTGTAAAGAGATTAACTCACATCCGTCCATGAACTAGAGGATCATGTGGAGTTAACACAATTGAAGTCTTATGGTTAAGTTTGGTGTCGTTGTGTTTATGCATCGTAGAAGATTTTAAAGAAAATATAGGTTAAGTAAAGGACACAAATGTGAAAGGATGAGCTCTTTTCTTCTGCTGGAATTGATCTCAGTGTAAATATCAGTTAGGCGCTTGACCTGGCTGAATTCCCACAGTGACTTCTTTTGTCCTCGTGTTGAGTGTTGAGTGTCAAGTGTCAAGCCAAGTACTGTTCAGTAAAGAAACCCAACTGAGCTGGAAAATGACTTTCTCAGATTGGGTATTAAGATCTAAACAGAAGGAGCTCAGCTCATTCACATCTCTCATTCGAAGCATTTATCTCTGTGTTTGTGAACTAGTGCTGCAAATCCAGATTAGGGTTATTACTCTGATTTCTCCTTTCTCTCTTTCACCTTGAGGACGACCATGCACGTCTTTGTATTTTTACCCCAGCCTAAGAAGTTATGTATTCACTACTGTCCGTTTGTTCGTTGCCTCGGTCCATGACCTAAGGAAGTTACATTTTGGAGCTGCTCCAGGACTTTTCTTCTGCTGTCTTTAACTTTTCAATACTTTCATTGGCTTCTCCGAGATTAATTCATGGATCTTGATGATAAAATGTGTAGACATTCCTTACTATGTTATATTCCTCTTCATCCATTTTTTAGCAATGTGTGTGTCAGTTGGTTGATCTGGATTTTGATTGAAGTTTACGTTCTTACTCCAAGCATCATGCGATCTCTATATGATAAATACACTCGTTGGAATGAACAGAGCTGTCAGTCTGTGTTTTACGATGTGAGAGACAGAAGTTACTTTAATATGTTTTCATCTTTTAGGTTTTGCTCTGCAGCTTAACTGTGTGACTGAGCTGGGAGGAGGAAGAAGATGCCACCCAGGCCGTCCTCAGGGGAGCTATGGGGCATCCACTTGATGCCTCCAAGGTATGTTACACTGTTCATTGTGTTATTGTGCACAAATACACAAAAGTCTTACAGTTTTAATTTCCTGCTGTCGTCAATAATAAAATCTCCAATATGAATATACGCATAATTATTCCTCTTATAATATTCATTGTATGTATATTCCTTATTAAATGTTAATGCATGAATAATAATATTTATTAAACTTTATTTTAAGTGCGTTTAACATTAAGAAAGTCCTAAAATGAAAGTGAGTGAAACAGGAATAAAATGAATGTAACATTAGATGGAAAATACAAATCATTATTATAATTATTATGAGAAATCTGAAATTAAAATAATACACAATTAAGAAATTCCGACAGACGTCTATCATTAACCTTGTTGAATAATGGTGTGCATGTCTGCAGGATCCTGGTGGACTGTCTGCTGCCCAACGGGATGATCTTGACCCTGGAGTGTCTCCGCGAGGCCACGCTCATCACCATCAAACATGAGCTGTTCAAGGAAGCCAGGAAATATCCCCTCCACCACCTCCTACAGGAGGAGACCTCCTACATCTTTGTCAGTGTTACACAGGTAAGAACCTTTCAAATCTGAATATATGTGGTGGGAGGAATCTCGGAGTAATATTAATCTGTTATTGAAAGTCTGATGGAACATCCTCAGACACTGCATTATTAGCTGATAATAAAAAGAGAAAGGCTCTCGAGAACGCAGCACAGTTTCCACCTCTCTAAAACACAGATTCTGCAGCTGCAGGCAGGCTGTCAGCTCTTCATGTCCGTTCACCATTTCATGAGAAATAGAAAGTGCAATATTGAACACAGCTTCTGTTTGTTGTTTCTTAATATTTTTGTCCTGCCTGCAGGAAGCAGAGCGGGAAGAGTTCTACGATGAGACTCGGAGGCTGTGCGATCTCCGACTCTTCCAACCGTTCCTCAAGGTCATTGAACCAGTTGGCAACAGAGAGGAAAAGATCCTCAACAGAGAGATCGGTGAGATATTCTCCTCCTCAGATTACACTGTTTCTGTTGTAGCCATGGTTCCTCTTTGTTTTACTAGTTTGGTTAGAAAAATGTATAGTGATATATATTTTGGAAAGTGACAACATCAAAAATGTTTTCCTGTTCAGTTAGAAACTTAGATTATTGAAATTGTTATCTTTGGATTTACGAGGCACTTCATTTCTAGTTATTCTGGGTAGTTCAAGAAAAAGAAGTTTCTGAAATGTTTGTCAAAGCACAATCTAAAGCTGCTTTCAGACATGCACTGACATATCTGTACATTTTCCTTAAGAGGACAATGCAAATATCCGGATTGAATTGAAATCTGTCAATAAAGGCAGATGTGTATCTTAATAAAAAACATGTGATTTCTGCAGCAGAATTTATATGTCACATCCTGTCTCTTGCTGCTCTACAGGCTCCACCCCTTGCCTTAAGGTTTGAGAAACGTTCCTGTAGTTTTAAACTTGTTCTGACCTGGACAATATCCTGCTGCATTCTTCATATAGACAAACTGTGACAAATGTCCAGACCCAATTTTCATATCTAAAAGCAGCTTAAATAGAATATTTGGTTTATTTTTACAAGATAAGTTGGGAATGAAAAGCTTGAACTTACTATTTTAACCGAAGCTGAGCTTGATTTATGAGGAGAATCATTGAAAGACAAGCACAGTAGAGGAAAACTTTATTTGACTTTATCTGTAAATTAACACAAGCGTTAAAATTCTCATGAAGAACAAAACGCAGACTAACCCCCTACTGTTCTGTCAGGTTTTGCCATCGGTATGCCTGTGTGTGAGTTTGACCTGGTGAAAGACCCTGAGGTTCAGGACTTCAGGAGAAACATCCTGAATGTTTGTAAAGACTCCGTGGAGCTCAGAGATGCTAGTGGGCCTCACAGTAGAGCACTGTACGTTTACCCACCCAACATAGAATCCACACAGGAACTTCCCAAACACATCTATAGCAAACTGGACAAAGGTAGGTTAGTCTACTGTTTTTCAATGTGGTGTCCAATGCCATAGAGTAAATAAGAATAATAAGAAATAGAAATCTGTATTTCGGCCTCCCATCAATATTTAATCACTACTAGCAAACCTTTCCAATGGAGAGGAACTATAGTACTGAGCTTTTCAATCAATTAATTGATTTTACCGACTATAGTATTTCTATTGTGTGAAGCTTTTGTTGTGAAACAATGCATTGAATAGAACCACAGTACTCAAAACGATATCCTCTCTCCTCTGAATCATTATCGAAGAGTTTTTGTTTCTCTTTTTTGCTCAAATACATTTTTGATTCATTTCTCAATCGTCAATCTGTCTTTTCGACGTTGTCTTTTTCTAGGTCAGATTATTGTTGTGATCTGGGTAATTGTTTCACCGAACAATGACAAACAGAAGTACACACTGAAGATCAACCACGACTGCGTGCCTGAACAGGTGGGACATGACATGAAAAAGTCACCAACAGCCACACAGCATGCTACATTCCATTTGTATGTTCAGTCTGAGGAGAAGAAGAATCTGAAATCACTATCTTTTTGTGTCTGTGTCCTAAAGGTGATTGCGGAGGCTATTCGTAAGAAGACCCGCAGCATGCTGCTGTCGCCAGAGCAGTTAAAGATGTGTGTTCAGGAATACCAGGGTAAATACATCCTCAAGGTTTGTGGCTGTGACGAGTACCTACTGGAAAAGTACCCCATCAGTCAGTATAAGGTAAGAGACACGCAAGCAAAAGCATCACATTTGACTCTTAATATATATTGACAAGCCATCTCCCATTTACATCATGTCAGAAACCCATAAATGAAGTTAGGATACCAGCTCAGATATGTCAAAAGGGCTCCACTGTCTCTCATTTAAGACACTGGAGCCATGTCCTCATGCACAGCGTCGTGAGCACATGCTCCGAGCCAGGAGCTGTTCCCTCTGAGCCAGGATCAAAGTAGAGGTAGCGCACAATGACGGTCATTGTTTCCTCTCCAGTCAGCTGCTGGAAAGTGACCAACTGACATCACTGGCCACACTTACGCACGGTGTAACTTAACCAGCTCTGTGCGGACTTTCCTTCTAACGACCCGCCTCTGTTTCGCTCCCCCTCTCCATCTCTCCCCTCCAGTATATCCGTAGTTGCATCATGCTGGGCAGGTTGCCTAACCTGATGCTCATGGCAAAGGACAGCCTTTACACCCAGCTGCCAACGGACAACTTTGTCATGCCGTCATACTCTCGACGCATCTCCACGGCGACCTCCTATATGAACGGCGAGGCAGCTGCCAAGTCGCTGTGGACCATCAACGGAACGCTGAGAATACGAATCCTCTGTGCCACCTATGTTAATGTCAATATCCGGGACATAGACAAGGTGGGGATAAACCACTGTCTGTGTTTCTCAGTCAAATTGAATAATCCCATTAACACTCTACACTTTGCACTAATGCTGTGCTCACTGGTAGAATGAAACTAGACCTGGCCAAAATAAAAATGTTTATTTGTATGAACTGTATTTTTTTTTTTTACAGTGGAACAAAATAAGAAAAGTTTGTTTTTTCCAGTTTTGAATCGTGTCCCCACCCTCCACCTCCCTCACATCCTGTGGAAACAAACAGTCATTGTCCGAGTCTCATGTCAACATGTGACTTTTACTGAGAGAAAGTCTTTTAGTAGCTTATGATGGTTTGTTGTTTTGAATCATATTTGTAAATGTAGTGTAACGACCGTGTCGTTTAATTTGATCCGCTGGTATCGAGGTCAGAGATGTACAGTGATAAAAACTTTCTTTAAATTCTCACTTTGGTTTGTTTTGCTTCCCCTTTATTTTGTAGATTTATGTGAGAACAGGTATTTACCATGGAGGAGAACAGATGTGTGACAACGTCAACACACAGAGAGTACCCTGCTCGAACCCCAGGTAATTCACCAGCTCCAGGTTATCCACCACTGCAGCACTTAAGTGCTTGTCCTCTTAATCGTAGTAGTAATATTCTGTATTTAACATAGTTGCAACATGTTTAAACCTATATTGTGAGAGATGTAAATAAAATGAGTCAAGGGAATTTAAAACTGAGCTGAAATAAACTGTGAAATATCAGTTACTGCACCCAATAACTGAAACAAAGTCTTTTTGAATTCACTTTCACTGAAATATTCATTTAGACAATCTACAAAGCTAATTTGCTTTAAGCCGTCAAAGGCAGGAGGGTGAGTTAAGAGTTTACTGCTTCTTAGTAACACTAAGCTGCTGTATTACATTACTGTTATGCGTCAATTAACAGAGGTACTGTCTGCACGAATACCTGATAACAGTGTTCATGTTAAAACTATTGTGGTGTTCAGTGTCTCTCTGTTCTACACCATCAACTCACCTCAAAGTTTTCTGTCAGGAATCATCACGAGCAGTTTGGTGGGCATCAGAACATTTCTGATGGAAGCTTTTACGTCTCGTTAATTGTCTTTTTATGTCATTAATTCTTACTCTGCAGGTGGAATGAGTGGCTCACATACGATATGTACATCCCAGACATCCCCCGTGCTGCCAGACTCTGCCTCTCCATCTGCTCGGTCAAGGGCCGAAAGGGAGCGAAGGAGGTAGGAGATGAGGCAGTGAAGTCCCCACAGTTCAACACACGGTTCATAGTCGATGGAATTTGACTGATTTAATTTACATTTAAACATTAAAACTGTTCCAATATGAACCGATGTTAGCAAAAGGAAACGTACATCGCATCAAACAAACAGAATAGCTTTGGTGCTACAGTTGTCACGAGATAAAGATAGCAGAAGGAAGATGAACTCCATGGCACGCTCACTTTGGAGGGACTTATATCTATAGGTGCCTCGTGTGTGTAAGCGTGTGCTGGTGTTGGCACATGTTCCTGCCCTTCTCAGTGTGTCCGCCTGTCTGAGTATATGTGTCTAAGGTGAATGAGAGCTGTGGTATCATCTTTGGCTCTGTTTAATTACTAATCAGCGGCGGGTGCTGCGGTGGCTTTGAACATCACCAAGAAACACAATCAGCAGAGGGGACTTTTCCATTCATGTTGGGTTATGTCCCCCTTCTGTAACACACATTGAGGACATGCTGTGAAAAGAGTTTATTGTTTAATCTCAAACTTGCTTCAAGGTTTTTGACAGAACTTAGATTTTGGATCAACCAAATTAAAAATAGGGCTGTAAACGTACTACATAGAACTTAAAACTTATGAATGATTTTACCTTCACAGTACCATTAGCATAATATTAATATAATCTAGACACACCTACACAAACTGACACGCATTTTACTCTAGGTTTAGAAACCATGTAGTGTAAAACTGTTGGCCTGATACTTGTAACAGACACCCACGGCAATCGATTTTTATTCCCTCTCTCTCTCTAGTGGAAAAGCTGTCAGATAGGTGTGTGTCTGTCTGCGTGAGAGTGTATCAATGAATGCCAGACATGGATATTGTAACAGACACCGGGGCCGAGTCCCTGCTGCGCCATGATAGGTTGAGGTCGGGTTAGCGGCTGCTCTTTCATGCCCAACCTGAATTAAAGATAAACTCTTCTCCACAGCAGCCCTTTGTTCCAGCACTTACCATAAATAGGTGCATTTTGACTGGCTGTCTGCATGTAACTCTGTCTACCTTACTATGCTGCACTCTGTCCCCTTGTTCCAGTGATGCCACTTGTTGAAGACTCACTCTGAAGATCAAGATCTTAAACATGTCCCCACTGTTTGTGAAGGCTGACTAGTTTTAGCTTCACAGAGAGAATACATGGGTGTTAAATTCTTTTTTGGCTCAAAATTAATCACAATCTGTGCGTTTTTCTGTTCCCATGAGATTATCATGAATTGATAATGAATCTATTTGTCTCTCTTCCTCGACGTCTCTCTCTGTCTCTCTTTAGGAGCACTGTCCGTTAGCGTGGGGTAATGTCAACTTGTTTGACTACACTCATACTCTGGTGGCCAACAAAATGGCTCTGAACCTCTGGCCTGTCCCTCATGGCCTTGAAGACCTCCTCAACCCCATAGGAGTCACTGGATCTAACCCCAATAAGGTAACCAACTTAAGAAAGTAACAAGCTTCCATGAGTTTGACTGTTTTGTGTGATACCATTATTCACGCAACGAAATAAAAATGTTTAAATCTCTGCTGTCCAGGAAACGCCATGTTTAGAGCTGGAGTTTGACCACTTTAGCAGTCAGGTCAAATACCCAGATATGAACGCAGTAGAAGATCACGCAAACTGGACCATCTCGAGGGAGCTGGGATTTAACTACAACCTCTCTGGACAGGTAATTATAACCTGCTGTGCATCTCATAACTAGTAGTTTGGAGCGGTGCATCAACACAGAATTAATAAATAAAAAATGTACTTTACCAAATGTTTAAATCTACACACCTCCTCTGTATAACAGGAGACTCAGATCTCTGTTTTCTCAACCTGCTGCTTGTGTCCACCGCCAGGTAGTAAAGAAGAGCGAGACGATGTGTACTTTTGACAAACCAAAGGAATTAAATAATGTAGTACTGGGGACACAGACAGAAAGCAGACTCATCTGTTGCAGCATTTAAAAAAAAGAAGACAATCAAATACCTCTTCTTCCTCATATTCCCACGGAAAGAGTAACAGAGCTCAAATGTGCATTTGTTTTTATATAGTGTCCACCACCAAGTAACTTTTGTGAGAAGACAAGGTAAATTATTAAAGAAGGTGTTTCATCTTTCATAGGCCCCCCCCCCCCGAGATACTGTATGTTGACGTTGATAAATGAGGCCCTCGTGTGAGTTGTAGCTGTGTTCTATTTGTAGTCACTACATGTGATGTGACGATCTGCCAAGTCAGCTGTGGTCGTATTGTGTCAGTAATTGGAACAGATATGTGTGTTGTGTAAGACACCACATGTAATTACAGGTAGGTGTTACCGGATCTGTTGTGAGTGTTGAAAATATACAGGATTCTTTCTCTAATGAAATTAATAATTCAGAAGTCAGATAACAACTTTTCTGCAGCCACATTTTCAATATAGCTAAGAGGTTAAATAGTATAAATACAGCTCGGATTAAGGTAAAAGGTGCTTTTTGTTTCAGAATAACCGTGTGGCCAGAGATCACGCCCTGACAGAGAGCGACACTGAGCAGCTGAGACAGCTGAGCAACAGAGACCCTCTGTCAGAAATCACTGAGCAGGAGAAAGACTTCCTCTGGAGACACAGGTAACCTCCCAGCATGCAGATGTGACGTGTTTGTTATACTAGCATTTAAAGTGCTGTAGACTACCTGGCTACAGATTTCACACGTCGTAGAAAGCTTAGTTTAGTCATATTCTTATTCGTTTGTCAAATGTTCAGTCTTCACTGCGATGCAACACACGCTAACTATCTCTATTGATTTTCTGTACTAGACACTACTGCATGAACATCCCTGAGATCCTTCCCAAGATCCTTCTCGCTGTCAAATGGAACTCCAGAGATGAAGTAGCACAGGTAATAATTTAAACTTTAATGTGTGAAGGAAGGTTTACACCGATCAGATGATCAGCCAAGTGTCCATAAATATTTATTTCATTCATTCTATGTTCTGACAACTCACCTGTAGGGAAATTCTTTTTTAAATATTTTAGATTGGAAACTAAAATATGTGTAGCTGTAGCTTACACATTAAAAATCAAAATAGGGCTACATACAATCAAATGATCGATGAAATGTGTCTCATTAATTGTAATTTTATAATTTTAATTATTGTATCTGTATATATAATTCATTTTTCTTGGTCTGTTTACTCCCCAGATGTACTGTCTGCTGAAGGAGTGGCCATCTATCCGTCCTGAACAGGCCATGGAGCTGCTGGACTGCAACTATCCAGACCCCATGGTCAGACACTTTGCTGTACGCTGCCTTGACAAATACCTGACTGATGACAAACTGTCTCAGTACTTGATCCAGCTTGTACAGGTGGGTCTAACTAAGAGCCGAGGCTGATGAAAGCACAGTGTGGAGTACGTTCCTGTGTGTTGGAGATATTTACGGCTGTGATTCTTTTGGTTGTGTGTGTTGTGTTGTTGTGTGAAGTGACTAATCACAATCTGAACTTTGCATCACCTCTTATTCTTTCCCTCCAATCGTCCCATCCTCTCTCACCTCCTCTTCTAGGTGTTAAAATATGAGCAATACCTCGACAATCCTCTGGTCCGCTTCCTCCTCAAAAAGGCCCTGACCAATCAAAGGATCGGGCACTTCTTCTTCTGGCATCTCAAGTGAGTCACCACCCAGATTCCTTTTTTTAAAATTTCAGTTTATATATCTTGCCCCCGTTCCCCTCACTTCTCTCTGCGTCGTCCTCACAGGTCGGAAATGCACAATAAAACAGTGAGCCAGCGGTTCGGGCTGCTGTTAGAGGCTTACTGCAGGGCTTGTGGCATGTACCTGAAACACCTGAGCAGGCAGGTGGAGGCCATGGAGAAGCTCATAAACCTCACGGACATCCTCAAACAGGAGAAGAAGGATGAGACGCAAAAGGTAAGGAGAGTGGCAACACACATACACATGCTGTTACACAGACACACACAAGGACGTATGACTTTGAGTTGTCTGTTTTAAAAACCGTGTTACTTTTCTAGTTAATGTTGACGTTGACATTTATCTTGACCGAACAAGAGCCTGAATTTTATTACTACTCATAGTTTGTAGAATTACAACTTGATGCTTTTGTTTAAAACACGAATGCAGAAATTTTCAGAAGATTTCTTTGAGGTTGTGTGTATTTGGGTTTGTGTATAAACATTTATGTGCGGTTGTATGTGTGTCTGTTTGTGTGTGTGCGTGTCTCTTGTGGAGGTCCAGATGCGGTTTCTTGTGGACCAGATGAAGAGGCCGGACTACATGGACGCACTCCAGAACTACACCTCCCCTCTAAACCCTGCGCACCAACTGGGAAACCTGAGGTCAGACACAACAGGGAGATTGTTATAGTGAACATGTGAAAAATCGATTGACACTGTTTAATTACTGGATTCACTTTGTGCACAGGTTAGACGAGTGCAGAATAATGTCATCAGCAAAGAGGCCGTTGTGGCTGAACTGGGAAAATCCTGACATCATGTCCGAGCTCCTCTTTCAGAACAACGAGATAATCTTCAAAAATGGAGATGGTAACACACACACACACACACACACACACACGCACACACACATCAGCCTGTAAGTACAAACCCAAAATGAATCTAAATACTGAAACATATGGGCTGATGTTTTCTATATGGTCAAACTAACTCACCCCTGTATTGTGTGTGTGTCTAATAATAATAGTTGATAATAATATATATTAATAATTTGAACTGTGTTTGTGTTGTAGACTTGCGACAGGATATGCTGACGTTGCAGATTATTAAAATCATGGAGAATATTTGGCAGAATCAGGGACTGGACCTACGGTACTGTCATCACAGTCTTTGTTTTTCTTTTACCCTTCCATCTTTCTGCTTCAGTTTCTTTATTCTCTCCTTCACCAGCGCACAGTGCTAAGATGATCTGTTATGTGTGTGTGTCTGCAGGATGCTCCCCTACGGCTGTCTGTCGCTCGGAGACTGCGTGGGTCTCATTGAGGTGGTTCGTAGCTCCCACACGATCATGCAGATTCAGTGCAAAGGAGGCTTGAAGGGAGCCCTGCAGTTCAACTCCAACACTCTGCATCAGTGGCTCAAGGACAAGAACAAGGGCGAAATGTGAGCTCATCTTCTCGTGATGTTAATTTCACATTATCTCTGCATCATTAGATAGAATGAAGCAGGTGATTAGAATAACGTGTCTGCAGAATGTCTAAAAGTAGAATTCATTTAGAATTTCAGATCATTTACTAAACTCTTTGTTTATTCTTCGTGTGCGTGTGTGTGCGTGTGCAGGTATGACTTGGCTGTGGATCTGTTTACAAGGTCCTGTGCTGGCTACTGCGTAGCTACGTTTATCCTCGGGATAGGAGACAGGCACAATAGCAACATTATGGTCAAAGATGATGGACAGGTAACACACACACACCACATCATTTCCACACCTGCAGTTTAGAGAACAGACGATGGAGGCAGCACAGACAAAAACAGAGTCAAATCAATAAAGTTTTGATATAATTTTTAAAGAATTATATTAAAATATGATCTATTATAATCCATGAACATTTTAAAATGTAGTTCACATAATATAGGAGGCGTCTTTGTCTGGTTAATGTTTTGATAATCAAGGTTTTCTTTTGTCCTGTACTGTTTGTTGTTTGTTGATAAGTTTCAGTGACTTGTGTTTTCCTCTTAATATAAATCTTCTTATCCCTGATTTTTGACTTTCTGTGTTCATTGCTGTGTTCTGCTTTGTTTCAGCTGTTTCATATAGATTTTGGTCATTTCCTGGATCATAAGAAGAAGAAATTTGGCTACAAGAGAGAGCGAGTGCCCTTCGTACTGACTCAGGACTTTCTCATCGTCATCACCAAGGGATCCCAGGAGTGCACAAAGACCAAAGAGTTTGAGAGGTACTGTCTTTCCTCTTGTTTCTTGCATCTGCTCTAAGGACAACTCGAGTCAGTCAGTCTGCTTGTCTCCTCTTGTCCTGATGCAGCAGATAACATCTGCCACAGAAAAGACTTTCTTTTTATAAACCAGATGTAAAGTAAATGATATTGGAGAGTAAGCCGTAGTTTTCAGTTTGCAAATATATTGAATTGGAGGTTTGAATTTATTCAACAGCACAATGCGTTTGTCTTACCTCATCCCCCTCAACAGATCACACCCTGTAAACTTTGCGTCAGTGCTTACGTAACAAACAGGAATTGACCAACAATCATTCCTGTCTTTCGAACTAAATTTGTAACATGCAAGCTGCAATTTTAACATGACATAATCTAAGCTTGCTTAAATTTTCAACACAATTTACTAATGTTTGATAATCACAACCCGATACGTACAAACTACGAATGAGCCAATAGGTCAGAAAAGAGTCAAATCTGCAGTTAGCGAGGGAGAATCGTTTGTGAGCCAGGCTGTTGCAGTTTGTGGAAACCAACACAGCTTCAGATGGCGTCAGACTGGAAGTGAAAAGGAAACACTCACCTGTCTTGTCCACTTGATTTTCAGGGGACTGCCCTGCACAGCTGCCGCCTCAGTAACTAGTGTGGGATAAAAATGTGTCCTCCTCACATTCGCTCCTCTCCGTCCCTCTAGGTTCCAGGAGATGTGTTATAAAGCCTACCTGGCCATCCGGCAGCACGCCAACCTCTTCATCAACCTGTTCTCCATGATGCTGGGCTCTGGCATGCCGGAGCTGCAGTCATTTGACGACATCGCCTACATCAGAAAGACTTTGGCTCTGGAGAAGAGTGAGCAGGTGTGTGGGGCTTCTCATCTTCGGGGTAAATCGTCTTTAAATTGTCTTTCTGAAGACAAATTCATTTTCCCTTGTTGTGTGCAGGAGGCGTTGGACTACTTTATGAAACAGATGAATGATGCTCACCACGGAGGGTGGACCACCAAGATGGACTGGATATTCCACACAATTAGACAGCATGCACTAAACTGATCTCCTGCGCATCAGTCCCACCACGGAGTATTTACTTCTGTCAGCCAGAAGTTCCTTCAAGGAACTTCAGTTCTGTTACAGCGCACATTACGAACAGCTCACTGACGATGAAAGTTTCATCTGGGTTTATTTCCTACAGGGTTTCTTTCTTGGCCTTTTTGTGATGATACTCTCCCACTGCCCTCTGCTTGTTAACTCGACTGGAAGAGCGTCTTCTTCATGTCCTGGGGAAGATATGACCGTCCTGGCTGATGCTTGTGTCCATGGCTACTGTGCTTCCTTTGTTGTTTTGCCCAACCGGATCAAACTGGGGTGCCGAGGAAACGTTACCTCTCTCCCATCTGCTCTTGAAGGAAACACAATTTGGACAAAACAGCACAGATGACTTTTCTGCTGAGTTATAAAAGCACTTTTGATGCTGCACTGTGGCTCCACCGTAGACAGGAGGCGCTTTGGAAACCCTTTTTAATCGTATCACTGCTGAGGAAGTAGTGGGCACAAGGAACTGACACGTGCAGGATTACACGACAATCTTCTCCTCCATCTCTGCGGTGAAGTCGCCCTTCTGAGGAAACGTCAGAGCTCAGAAACTGCCCTGCAGCAGAGTGTGTGCGTCGTGCACAGCTCTGCAGTCGCCCGTCGAAGAAGCAGCACTCTACTCCTGGGAACCGTCGTTGGTGGTGCAGCTTTTAAACTCATGCATATTCTTCAGGGTGATGAATCCTCTCCGTCAAAGAAACAGCACTTAGAACTATCAGAATAATACACAGATTTATTATGACTTTTTACATTTATTTATGTATCTCGTTTCTTTCAGTTTCAGTTTATGTGTCCGGTTTCTTTCAGTTTCATTCGTTAACAAAGACATCTAATGCTCTGTTTGGTTCGGTCACTTTCACAGTTCATCTCATTCGACCGCGTCAGAAGATCAGTTTGTGTCGTTGTGGCTCGTTTGCAGAACCTTCCATGAAATCTAAAGGCAAAATGAGAAGAGCGAGTGCCACGCTTACATTTTTTGATAAAGGGACCGTTTTTTTTACGCCTCTGGCTGTTTGAATGCCAGCGAGCAGAGGCCGAGGGGAAGGTCACGTCTTCCTGTTGATAAAATGCCTTGGCGTCACAGCACAACATTCTACGACACTGCACATCGCTAATCTCCTTAAAGTCTGCCTAAGCAAGTTGTAGTGAGCAAACACGGCAGCACTATTAACATGAAGCATGGCAGCTTTTAGGAAATGCTAGATTTGACCTTCATCGGGTTTTATTTGTACTGTATTTCTAACTGTGTCACGTTGATGAGCTTCATCACGTCCCCACTAGAATTTATTTTAAATGTTGACTCATGGACAAAGTCCATTTTATCTTGTCAATGGACGAACAACTTTCCTCTGAGCCTGAAACCCTGGTTGTATTAGAGCCCTGCCTCCTTCGGCAGATACTGTGAAAGCCATGCTCTACACCTGTGTGTTCAAAACTTTTTGTTGTTTTTGAATTCGTTAAATTCACAGTGATACTGTAGTTAGAGTTTCTTTAAGCAAGTGAAGCAGCACGTGGGAAGAAGTATTGAATGAATATGAAGAGCGACACACACACACACACACACACACACACACACACACTCCTCCCTCCCTCAATGAATTTGGCTTCAGCTACGTTCTGGTAATGTAAACAAAGTCTTGCCAACTGAAGATCTATAAACACACGGAGGCAGAGTTGAGCAGATTCGGTTAATGAATGTGTGTCCATGCCTCTGACTCTTTATCATCATGTTTTACAAAAAAGACTAAGAAAGTCTTTCAGTGTGAGAATATGAGATGACATAATTAACACAGAGGCAGGACCACAAAATGTGTTTCTTTTATTTCCCTCGCCTTCCACTTGACTCGTGAATCGTCTCATAAATGATTTGAGATGATTTTAAAAAGGTGCACAGACAGTTTCTGTGTTGAACCTCTTGAAAGCTGTGTGTGCCTCACAAGCACTTGATGCCCTCACATTGTATCTAGAAGGACACTATAGTGTGTGTGTGTGTGTGCGCGCGTGATGTACTATTTCAGCATTAATGGGTAGAATGTCTTTAACCGCTGACATGGACCTGACGTGCACTTCTATGATTTCTCATCGCCACGTTCTAAAGTCAGATGCGGTGCCACCGAGCGTCGTCTGTTGTTGCTTCTCCTTTTATTTGCCATTTTTTCTCAACGTGCCAAACCAGGTCTGAGAACGTGAGGCCTGTGGAAGTGAATGCTGGACTTGCACCATGCAGTAAAAGTCATATCAGTTACATACTAAAAAAAATAGGAGGTTGGGGTTTGCACTTAAAAAGGCCTTTTTGTTCTGAGGGACTCTGTAGGAGTGACGGTAGTCTAGTTTGCATGTTTACAAGCAGCATAACCACTATGTATGATGTACATTTTGAAACAGCATTCAACAGTATGTATGTACAGTTACAGTCTTTTCTACGGGAGGCTTCATGTGTGAGTGTTTATAGAGATGGACGAAGCATCTCCACTTCCTGTGAATCTTGCACGTTCGGAGCCAGACTCTGGGAAGTAGCTATCGGTGGACGGGGCTGCAGCGGTGAGGTTCCACCGAAACCTGAGCTCAGCCAATCGTGAGTCAGTTTCTTTCAATCAAGATGTTTTATAGCATCGAGAAACAACTTGAATCCAAACAAGCAAAACATCAATGTGACATTTGTATTTTGACTGAAGAGGCGGGACGTATGAGCTGTACTGCAGCCGGCCACCAGGAGGCAGTCAAGATGATTTGGCTTCATTTGTGTGGAGCTGTCATGTCGTCCATCTTTATGAACAGTCTGTGACAAACCTGTTGAGTTGTTATCTTCATTATCTTTTGCCATATATCCTCCAATCTGATGGTGTGAGTGTGTGTGTGCATCAGTTATCCTTCTGTACAGGTGCAGAGCTTCATTGGCAGGTCCCAGTGAAAATGTGTGTGTTTGTGTGTGTGTCCATCCATGTGTGTGTCGACACTTAACTGTTGAAGTGATGGCGTCTCTCTCTGAGTTTTGTTTTTCTGCAGAAAAGCTTCAGAAACAAACACAAAAGAAGGGAAAGTTTTTTTTTTTAGTTGTAAATGTTTGACTTGAAACGTCATGAATCAGAACCAGTGTTGGTTTAGTGTTCAGATGCGGGGGTGCAGTATCTACTCTGTGAGTGTGTGTTGTACGTGAGAAGCAAAGGTTGAAGCGTTTGTGTACAGGTCGTTTGTTTGTTACCGATCGTGAATGTCATCGGTGCCACAGTTCTGCTTTTCAGAGTGAAACGGCAGCTTGTTCTTGAACTGGTGAAGGACCGAAGTTGTGCTCGAGTCCAAATGTTGTAAAGATCCGGTGCAGACGGAACCGCGATGAAGGTTTTCAGTTTCAGCCTCATAATCGTACGAATGAACAGGTTTTCAGAGACAGTTTGTTTGATTCTCCTGCTCTCAGACTTTCAGGATTTCTGCAACTAACTGATTTAGATTTGGACTTTGATCCCCTCCCGTCTTTCTCTGTCAGATGTTCCAACGATGAAAACACCGGTCACATTAACAAACCTGCTCAATGGTCACAGGGTCACTTTCACTGGTTCTGCGTCACTGAGCCAGTTCGTCTGCAGCAGTTTGAGCTTCACACAGTGACGCTCGTTAATCGTCGCGTTTCACAAGCGCTGAGAATTACTGAGAGAGGAGAGGAACACTCAGTGTGTCTGCGAGTACAATCACATAGTGTGACCTTTGATTCCATCTTTGATATGATTGAATCAGAAACAACAATCTGGAAGTGTTACCTCTGTTGTTTTTTTTGTTTCTGATGAATTTCTGTTCACGTTACTTTGTCCACCACCCGTATGAATATGAGCTCTGATATTTAGTGAATAGGAATCTTTGTTAGTTTTTACTGTGGAGGCGTTTAAGGAAGTTATTAAAGTTACAGAATGTTACTTATGACACAGATTGTGTTTCCATCCAGCCGTGAATGGGCTTTAAACACATTTAACGCAGGGTTTTAAACTCCTGCAACAAAAAAAAGCAACCTTGCATTAAGGAGAAATGACTGCAAATCGTTTTATATCTCAATCGTCCCAGATTCTCACTTTAAAGGAGGAATACTGACGGAATGGTCTGTGGCTTCATGTTCATCTCTGTATGCAGAACTATAAACTACATGAGTGTGTCACTAACACAGTGTGTTTCCATGCCATGCTGTCAGAACCTTAACCTATACTATGAATGAATGTAACGGGCCCATGTATTGTTCTTCACTGCCTATACCTGCATGAGATTGGGTAAAGGGGAATATTCTTCCTCTTGCTTTATTGTTTTTTTATTTAGTCTGCTATGCAGCCTCACAGATGTTTATGAATGAATGCCTTAAGTTTGCTCCCTGTAGGAACAGTTTCTAGGACAAATTCATTCTCATGATAACCTGCGTTTTTTTTTATTTATACGTGTAAACGATTGTGTTCCAGTTTGGCTCCCCGGTCACAGAGTAAAGGTTTTTACTCTGACTGACTGACTGACTGGCTGCTCATCTGATTGTTCTGTGAAGATGTACAAATAAATTTGTTAAACATTCACCCGGCTGTGTTTGCTCGAGCACTGTCCACTCCTGCAGTTTGACTGTAGCGCAGGATTCTTCATGAAGGTTTTACCTCATTGAATTACGTTAAGTTTAATTCAGAGTAAGATGGACGATCTTTAAATTCTGGATTTCTCTTTAATCCTGTACGATTGGACGGTAGATTCCTCAAAAGGAAAAATTCAGGGACTTTGTTATTTTCCTGGAAACATGAAGCATGAACTGTCGAGTATTTCTACTCGAGGTAAATACACTTTGGTGGTAAAGCAGTTTTCCAGTTTCATCCACGTAGAGCACGTCCACCCAAGCACTGCTTTTTGTTTTAAACCAATGTTGCATTCTTGTCACAGGATGTCATGGGACACTTTTTAAAAAGCTGAACGTTGTTTGTTCGCGTGGAAACGAGAGAGTGGAGGAAGAAAAACATTGAAAATGAGCACAAAGAGCAAAGTTTTATTTCATCTTCCTGGCAGAATGTATCTCTAATAAACACACAGGGAACTGAGCCTCCTCGCTTACACATCAATTTATCTGATAACAGCAACGACCTCTGTGATCATTTCAGTCCTTATTCGTCCAGTGCTGTCTGAGGAGCTACAGGGCCCGTTACCCCCCCGAAGAGGTTCCTTCAAAACAAAGACAATCTGTGGAATGTGGAAATATTCATGCCAGCAGGTCTGCGTCACGGAAGCCCCCGTCTGCGGGCGGCTGTGGGGAGACGGCCTCTGGGACCGCCCCGGTGGCGGCGGGTTGGACCGGGTGGAAAGTCTTCCAGGGTTCGGAGGGGCAGTGGAAGGGGCTGTCACTCACAGGATCTGCTGCCACGTTGGGCAGGCCGGACGGTTTGACGGCCGTGACGTCCTCCTCCGATGATTCTTCTTTGGCGGGAGCCGGGGAGGGTAAGTGTGAGGGTGAGGTCGAGGGGACGTCATACAGAAGGTTCCTGAGGGGAGACCAGCCTGTAGGACGACGCCTTTTGAACAGCTGAGGTGAAGAACACAGGTTGTGGATGAACAAGTTCTTATACGACACGAAAATGCTGAATCGTGTTAAAGAAAGTTCTGAATAATGTTTAAATGAAATGATTGAATCAGTTTCATAGATACTAGTCTTATTAGTCAACTAGATGTTTCTCTGGAGTTAGAACAAATCAGAATAATGAAGTTTGCATCTTGAATTTAAATGTGTTGAGGTGGAAAAGTTAAATTGGTAAATTTTACCTCCAACTAAATCTCTGAATCTGATCTAAGAAAATCTAATGAAATGGAACCATTACAGGAATATTTAACCACATAAACACAACGTTTTGCAGAATATTAGCATTAATTCCGCACTTCCTGTTGATTAGTTGAGAAGGTCGTCTTCCTTTTAACCTTTTGAAAACCAAAGACCTTTTGTTTAAACAACTTCCTGAATACTTATAAGGACTCAGTGATAAATAGTTTCACAGTTACACAGACAGTAGTTCGTGTTGTGTCGGTGCGTCTCACCATGGGAGAAAGAGCTCCTGCTTCACACTCGATCTTTGCAACTGGAGTCTCCTGTCTCCACGGAGCCAAATCCACTGTCGAGTTACAGTTTGTAAACTCCTGCACACACACACAGACACACACAGACACACACACACACACAGGTTGGGATTGATCACACTATGAGTGGTGATAAGCGCCGTGTTTACACACTCACCACATCCTTTTCATCAGGGACACACAGTACGTTGAGGTCTTTGTGTTCGGCCTTGCTGCAGGTGGTTTTCTTCATATCAAACCTCAGCTTGTACCTGAGACCTGCGATCACCTGCGGAGACACACGCACTCAGCTGTCGGAAGAAGAAACACACCGTGCCGGCCTCCTCTCCCTTCACATCACAGAGTCACTCTCTACCTGTCTGGTGGCGTAGCCGATGTCGTTCAGGGTGAACAGGTGAGTGGAGTCGGAGATGGAGTTGAACTTGGAGATGGAGACGGAGACGGGGGTTTTGAGGTCCTCTGAGTTTTCTTCGATGTCCTCGGGGCAGCCCAGACAGGAAGCTTTCTCTGGAAGGATGTAATTGTCTGGAGGCGAAACAAGATGGAGAAAAAGTGAAAAAGACAGAATGAGCTGTGGATAAATAAAGAAAAGAGAAACAGACTAAAAACATAAACTTGAAGGAAACATTGGCCCCTAATCTGTCATCACTGCTGCTCCGTGATAATAATGTAAAAGAAATGATGGAGAGACCCTGAGGTTCAATTTTAAAGGTCTTTAAAATGTTAATATTACACTTTAACAAAACAATACTCTCACAATGGTCCTAAAAATGTGAAACTAGATTCCTGGATCCTCACGTCAGGAGAAGTTGTGCCGTGATAATGTTGCTCAGGTTACTGAACACTGTCGAAACTTTAAAACACAGTTTTAATAAAGAACTCTGCAAGTTCACATCGAGAAAACAATCTGTGGACTGTCGACCAACAGAGAACCTGCTGAGCAAACAGATGGAAGTCTAGACTACCACTCTGCCTTTCATGGAGACGATGGTTGATAATGTTACACAATCCGTCTCCCTGCGTCGATCTGTGTACTTCCTCCTCCTCAATGACTGAAAGAGAAAATGAGCCTGTCTGTGACAAACAGACTCACAGACATCGATCCCATGTTGAAAAAGATTTTGGTGTTGAAAGCAACTTTCAGAAAACGTGAAGTATATACTACACTTTCACCCCCTGTACGTGTGTACGTGTACAAACCAACTCAACGACGTCAGGGTTCATTCACATGATGAGCTTTTGGTCAAAGGTCAAGGTCAACAAACTGAAGCTAATGTTGTTCAGGAAATAATTTACAGATACTGCATGTATGATGATTTTAAAACACTAATGACATCATTATATTCTCAGTACGTGTTTGTAGCGGGTAACAAGAAATCCAAAGTGAGTGCAGCAATAGATGAGAAGTTATCTTAGAGTAAAGACTGGAAGGTTGTGTGTCTTTTGTGTAGTGTTGGTGGTTCTGCAGCACGGTGTGTGGCTGGGTGTGTTGTTGTTGAGGCTCGTTCTGGATCCACTTGTTGTCCCAGTTGTTAGAAACAACTATTTAATGACGTCGTCCTGTTAATGAATGAATTAACTAACGAGTCATGTGTTCACTTGCTCACTCACCCATCTGACAATGCACCTGCTGAGTGTCTGCGTCTGTCTCTGTCAGGAGAACCGTGGCGTTGCATGAAATCGGATTCTGTGTTGACACCAGGACAGAAGATGTTGTGAGTACGATCCGTCAAAAAACAAGAAGCAAATAAAATATACAAATAATGAGAAATGTAGTAAAGTGATAGAATCTGCTCTCGATGCTCCAGGTCACAGGAACCTGCAGTTTCATTCAACAGTATTTACAGTAAAGTTTATTCTGAAGTGTTTTCTCAGCAGCTGTATTTCATCCCATCATCGCCACCTTGTGTCCAGAAGGCAGATAGTCACAGTCCGTCCACGGCTTGCTGCTGCCGGCCGGACAGTCACTTCTCCTGGTGGTGAACTGCAGTGAGTACACGGAGCCTGTGCCGCTCTCTGACTGGAGACACACAGACGGCATCAGTGAGGTCCAAGAGTCTAAACATGATTTCCCAGAATTCCACAGCGTTAGTTTCTCTGGGTTCATCAGCTTCCAGCTCAGTGATCGACCATCGGATCAATTCACATACCAAACTCCTCTTTAATCAACTGACTGTTTCTACAAGAACATACTGAATAATATCATATCAATGTATTTATATTAGTACATGAACTATATTCAAAGAACTTTTTACAATTACCTCATTAAGGTTTTGCTTATTTTTCTATTTGATATATTCGTCTGGTAAGCAGCAGTTAAAGATGTCAAACAAACGGATTTACATCCTTTGAGAGTTCATTTAAATTATTATTATTTGTATTTTTCCAAAGACACTTTGTTGAATTGTCTCATTGAGGACATTAACAAACACGAGCGTCCTGCAGTGAGTTCAGTCTGAATCACACTGAGACAAACCGTCTCACCGGTGTCTCGTGATCACGGTACCTTGACGGCTGACAGTATCTGATAGAGAGCCAGTTTGTTTCCAGTGCTCAGCCTCTCGTTGAACTTGTGCACGGCGCTGCCGGCGACCGTCTTCACCACGGGGCTGTCACAGAATACCAGGATGCCGGGCGGCACCTCCTCTGGGGCCTGGACGAGGAGAAGAGGGAGAGTTACCATGAAAGAGAAATTTATCACCGACTTACTGCGATAAGTTTAAAGTTTCAGTTTAAAGTACACAACTCACTCTAAAGGCCTGTTTTTAAAAAAAAAGTTTTTTAGGTTTATACTTTGATTATTTCCATATTCTGCAGTTTTAGACTTTGTTGCTTCTGGACATTTAAGAGAAAATATAGATTTCGTGTGTGTGTTTAACTGAGAATGACTAAAATAAACAACACAGGTCAAAGTCAGCTTCCACATCAGGATTTACACAATGATCCAAATCTGTAGCTGTGAAACGACTCATGCTTTTAATCCAATATCAGCGATGACAATAATAAACTTTGATTTTTATAGCACTTATTTAACACTTTTAAAGAACACAGAAGAAGAATTGAAGGTAATTTACAGGAAACAACGGAGAACACACAAAATAAAAGCAGTAAAAATACCACAGAAAATAAAATCCGAGCCAGTTTTAAAAAGTTGAAATCAAGTACTTAAGAACTTACTATAAGTACTTTTCCCTTTTTAATATTATTTAAAGATACTTTAAAACTATAACTAACTAAAATACTTGTTCTCCTGCTGCGGTGAACCCTCTCGTTCCTCTGCGGTCTCCGTGTTACTCAGGTTTAGAGTCAGTCGTCTGCTCACCTGCCCGAGCACGGAGCTGAGGAGGCCCAGCAGGCCCAGCACACACAGGCCAGCTCCACTCCTCATGGTCTGATCTTCACGCTCGTCTCTGCTGCAACGGAAAATATCACACACCAGCTGAGAACGCTGAGTTTACCGAGGAGGCGTCAGATTCAGGCCTGATGTGCAGAGTTAGTGACTCAGCACCTGCAGCTTGAGAAGGCGGAGGCCGGCTGTCGATCCTCACCTGCTCCGGGGAGAAAAACTCGACTCCTCTCCACACGGGGATGGACGACTGAGTGAAGGTCTCCTGGAACTGGGGATCCTGGGAAGGATGATGACACATAGACAGAGGACAGGAGGGCACAGAGGATACACACACACACACACACACAC